AAGGAGTGACTGCTAAACCCACATGTTTCTTAGGCAACTTCTTGTCATTCAAAAACGTCCCGTTGGTCGACGAGTCAATTATGTGGAAGGCCTTGCCGTCGTGCTCCAGAGTAACATGCCTGACCATGGCCCCTCACGAGCCTCCAGTACAGAGCCCTCGAGCCTACGTGCCGGACACTCTATCGTCGCTCAAGACGATACTGCAAGAAGGACTGCGCCCAATGGTGATGGAACTACGCAGGCCTCGAGTGACTCGAGAGGTCGATGGTCTCCATTGGAATCTGAAGGTACATGTCCTTTGATCGAATAGCCGCCATGATGGTGTACTTTATATCTCCACTGAGCTGAGCTATGACAGGGTCCTGCTGCCCAACAGTATCGCGATCCTTCCTTCTCCTAGGGGCAGGGACTTCCTCCCGAACTGATAGAAATACCGTAAAATCGCGGCATGTAGTGTCCATAGATACCTTGAGTAGCCGCTGGGGGCATCGCCTGAGTCAGACCCACTACAGCATCATGCATAAGCTCCTCCTCCAAGGGGTCCTCAAATCCCAGGGGCTTCCACATCGCACGAAGCAGAGGCTCCGGATGGCCCCTTATGAAGGGGCTAGTAACCAATGAGAAGCTTTCCCCCGGCCTATTAACATAAGGCATGGCCCATCAGCATGAGCCCTTCCTCTTTACCTCAGAACTTCGCTCTTGTTGGCTATCAGCCGTCTCGAGCCGAGATAGGTGCCGTTACGGGAAACATCAGTGATAGTAATCTGGTCGTCTTGGCCCGTCTTTGACGGGTCATGATCTATCCGCACCTAGTGAAGCTTCGTAACCCTAGAAGAGCACTTCTACTACGACTCCTACGTGGACCGTTGAGACCTTGGGGTCTGGGACCTCCACATCGTTGGTGCCGTCCCTCCCAATGCGCCATGAAGATCGGTCCGACCAGAGCTCGAGGGTTTGCTCTTTGTCTTTCCATTGACTGGTGTTGATAGTCAAGTATAATGTCTGTAATGGACAATAACAAGAACTTCGGAGGCGAAGAGATGCACCCTACACCTATTAAGACGGGGGTCTCGAATTCAGAGTCTCCAGTAAGAGGGGGAGGAGGCTGCCAGTCTTGTGTTGCAGTCGCGAGCTGCGTTGCCGAACACGACTCCCGTGTAGGCGAAGTAAACATATGGGCTGACGGAACTAAATGGAGCATCGATACGTAATTGGTCAGTTACAGAGGGCGCGCAGATAGTAGAAGTATTGAGGAGTGACGCGACAACTACAAGCTTCCAGATGCGGAGTCGAAGTCTATGGGGAACTCTCCCAAAGGTAAATCCATTGATATACCCATTCCATGACCGCTAACCTGAATCGATCGAATGCTAGGCTACGCATACGCATGGTGCGCGGACTTTTCGCGGACGCCCAGGAGTTCCTTCACCT